TGCAGGCAGGGAACTAGCTCCTACAGGACACACAAATGATCAGCATCCGAGATGCAACTAGTCGTGGTGCGCAGTCCTGCAAAGTACGAAAAGTGCAGCTTCCATTGCATTGCATTGCGCTGCTGTCTCAACGTATCACGGCGCAGTGGCACGTTTCACAACATCAATTCGGCACAACTCTGCATCCAATGCTTTCTAGGCGCTTGCAGCCATTTCTCTTGGTGTGTTTTTGACGACTACGTTGTACCTAACTACCTCTAACTAACTTGCACCCCTTGAAATGGTCCAAATGTTGAGGGTAGGAGAAGATGAAGCAAGGAAAATCCACCTTCTCCTTCTCCTTGACTGCGGCATGTTATTGTGTATGTGTCAGGAGACATTCCTGCCAGCAAAAGATATACGAGTACTTGTATCTATTACTTGTCCTTGTAGTTGTATACTGATGGAGTGACAGTCACAACCTACGAGGTGGCACTGAGGTGTGTTATACTTCTCCCACATTCCGCAGCCGATTCGTCCATCCGGCTCGCTTAAAGATAGCGTCGACTATTCTCTCCCTTGACCTACCGAGTGCAGAACTTTCAGTTACAGTTCCGCCTAGAAGAGGATGGATCGAGACCTATTTGGACGGCTAGGCAAAGACACCATGGGGAGTGGCTATGCTTAGCATCCCTAATTGGAACAGCCATGCGAGAGTGTCCTCTACTCAAACTCCCCGCGTGGTCGTCTTCCCTTTTTCTCGATACTCCAGCCGAAGCGAGGAGCTAAAGACGGGTTTCATCAATAATAGCTCAAGCCCTTTTCTCCCTCTTGGGACCTGAGTGTCGACTTCTTGTGACGCACATCCTTCAACTCTATCGTTCTTGTCATGGCTGTGCCCGAATCCCCGTATTTGGGTTTGGAAACTCCCATACCTATAAACTCTTATTGAGGCAGAAGGTAGGTCGCATCTCTATATATGGCTGATTCGAGACACGGTCCGAATCTCTAGAGAATCTTTTTCCAACCACCTACAAGCACAGTCTCCGTGAGAACATACCAAACAATTCACTAGTACAGACCAGCCCAAGCGGGAAAACCATGAAAGTCATTATCGTCGGAAGTGGGCTGGCAGGACCAGCAATGGCCCTCGGGCTCAAACGACACAACATATCCTGCAAAGTTTTTGATTTGCGCGACGAGGCTGCATTTGACGGCGGCTTCGTGGCCCTGGCGCCCAATGCGCTCCGCGCCCTCGACCGGATCGGAGTGTACGACCGAATCAGGACTCAGGGCTGGAACTATGAGGAGTTCCGCTTCCTGTCGTCCAGGAACCTGAGCCGCATCGGCACGGTGCTGAACGGCAGCCAGAGCCGATACGGGTACAAGGCGCTGCGCGTGTCCCGGGGCATCGTGCGGCAGACGCTGATGGACGTTCTTCGCGAGCGCGACATCGAGCTACACCTCAACGCTCGATGCGTGCAGATTGAAGAGACGGATCACGCGACCGTCATTGTCACGTTTGCCGACGGACACACCGAGGAGGCCGACTTCCTGATCGGCGCCGACGGCATCCATTCGCGCGTCCGCACGTACGTCGCTCCCGACGCCGTGCCCACGTTCAGCGGCCAGATCGGCGTCGGCGGATCGCTTCCCAAGGCCAAGCTGCTGATGCGGCCTGGCGAGGACATGTACATGCCGTGCTTGATCCTGGGGAAGTTGAACTCGTTCATGTTCATGCCCACGTCCTACACGGGGGATCGGGTGAGCTGTTTCGCGACGGTCGAGGCCAAGGATCGGAGTCGCGAGGAGTGGGCGAAGCTGCAAAATGACCATGCCGCGCTGTACAAGATGCTGCAGTCGCACCATGAGAATGAGACGTGGCCCGAGATTGTCCGCGTCGCCTCGCAAGGTGTCGAGCTGTCCTCGCTCTCACTGTGGCCGTGAGTTGAACTCCCTCTTCTCTCTCAAACCTGTCAATCTTTGCAAGAAATACTGACGTATCGTGTGGGAAAATAGGTACTACAAACTCCCCGAGCTCACTTCCTGGACCAGTACCTCCGGCCGAGTTATCATCATCGGCGACGCCGCCCACGCCATGCCCCCCACCGGCGGTCAAGGCGCCGCAATGGCATTCGAAGACGCCCTAACCCTCGCCGACACTCTCTCCCTACTAAATAAATCCGAATCACGCGATCAAGGCAATCACCACCTGGACCTACTTCGGGAATGGCAAACGGCCCGCAGAGCGCGTGTCAAGAAGATCCTCGCCTTCACGTCCCGGGGCGGCGACATGAGGAAGTCCTCAACGAGCACGTTCCGCCAACTGCTCAAGGAGTGGATCATGTGGGCGTACTTCCTGTTCGTGGGCAAGGACGCCGGGTTGTCGTGGATTTACGAGTTTGACACGCAGAAAGGTGCGGGTGCGGGCAGGGGTGGTCGTGCCTAGTACCTACGACGTTAGTATGGGGGTTTTGTAGTTCTTTGTTTTCATTGCCTCGTGTTTTCTTTTTTTCTCTTTTCTCCGGGGGTCTCGTCTGGGGGCTTGTTTAGTTCCTCGGTGCCAGTATCAGGATCTGGGCTGGATCGATCTCTTTTCTGGTCGCTGTATTACTCGTGTACAAACACAAGAGACTAGCTGGTGTCTGGATTTCATATTCATGTATCAATACCTAATTACCTACCTACCACCCTCAGTAATATAATCTAACCCAATCAGGATCTTTGTGCGTACATACATACACACATACGTACCAACCTACCTACTTATACATCTACCCAGGTAATGTACTTCACTCTATTCTATTCTGTTCTGTTCGCTGTTCGGGGATTGAAAACTATCCAAGGACGTCTAACGGCAAATCGCAACTCCCTCTGCCTCTCCTATTCCTTTGTGGCGCCAACGCACACTTCGCGAAAGAGGTCTGTTGACAAAGGACATGGGCATGGGATGGATTGACGAATCAATCACTGGATGGGGAGACAGATGGAAATGGCCAAGTAAAGCAAGCAAGCAAGTAGGGCTTCGATCTTCGATCTTCGCTTTGACTTCATGTAGATAAGTACAGGGCGTTCATGCATTATGCACCATGCACCATGCACCATGCACGCACAAAGGCATTGCAGCAAATGGAACGCAGCAAACGAATGCAGTGTACCTCTCTCTGGGTGTCTATGCACGGTACTTGCAGTAGTTTGAACCTCTCGTCTCTACTCGGACGCAAGGGACCTTTCCACACCAGACGCCGGAAGGTAGAAGCCGAAATCCGGTACTTTGTGCCTTAGTACGGCCATGTAGCGTGTAGCGATACATAGTGGCGATGGAAGCGATGGTAGCTAGTGGGAGCGAGAGTAGCAGAGTGGCTACTGCAGGTGTGTACCTCGTACGATAGGTAGGTAGGTAGGAAACTGGGCATGAGTGGATGTACTGTGCTATACTCGGTATGTGCTGTACGTTCAACAGTCGAGCATCTCCTTCCCTATCACCTGTTCTACCAACCTACCTACATACGCTGTCCATACCTACCTACTGTGCCCTTGTCCCTTCCCCATGATGCTATCACGCTCGTTGGGATATCGACTCGTTGATCCACGATGTACATGCCAATCCACAACGTTGATCTTCACGTCGATCAACACGTCTACACAGACGGTAGCGCACTACACGAGTGAACCTCCTTTCCTTCTGTCTGGAGGTATGTATGTAGATCACCAGATCGCCAGTCCGCATCCCCTACCTACCTACCTGTGCAGCTACCTACCTGTCGAGCTGTCTACCTACCTCGCTACCTAGCCGCTAATCCATAGTACCTATCTCCTCGCACAAGTACAAATCCGTCCAATCCAACCCACAAGACACGTCCCAGACCCCCCCACAACGTCCCACGGATTGGCACAACGTACCTTGTACTTTTAGTCGGAAAGAAAAAGGAAAAGAAAGCTACAAAAAAAAGGCATGCGTGTCATGCGCCCAGGCACCACAGGAATAAAACTACAAAGTATTCGGCCCCGCTGTTCTGTCACGTTGTCATGCTTTATGCCTAGGTAGGTAGGTAGGTACTTTTTGTAGAGACAGATGCCTCACTTCACGCCTCACACCACAAACCAAATACCACGCACCACAGACTCTCAAACGATATTGATTTTCATCGATTCAATCTACTCGCTCATTGAACTTCTCATTAAGGCCAACTCATTCAACCATCCATCCATCCATCCCCCAAAGTCTCTCATGTCACATCTACCTACCTACCCACCTACCACCCAAGTACAAGTACACACGAGTACTCGACACCTATGTATGTAGGTACTATAGGTAGGCCCTCAATAGTGACTCGGTAGGGACTCGATAGGTGCATGGTGCACGGTATACGGTATACGGTATATCCACCACCTGACCACCTCCCTTCACCTCGTCACCTCGTCACGTCCTCCCCCGTTCCAGTCCTTTTCTCTCGTCCTGGTCATGGTCCCGGTCCTATTCCCGGTCCTGACTTGGTGATACTCCAGATGCGACGTGATGCCCCTTTCTCGCGCCACCGACGTTGTCTGTGCTCCCAAGGCTCCCTACCGACCGGTGCCACTGGTGTCACAGTGACTTACCTCTCACCACTCTCAGCCTGCCTGACGACGTCAGTGGCGTTTTTACTGTCTCTCCTCCCTCGTCCCTCAAATCCCCACATCCACGTCCACATCCACACCCACGAGGCTCGTATAGGTATTTCTTCTTCTTGTTCACCTTCTTTCTGTAGATTGATAGGTAGGCATGTAGATGGCAAGGTAGATTAGGTAGATAGGTTAAAGGGCCCTGCATCACCAGAGGCAAACCCCCTGGGATGGTAGGTACTGGGTAATTCTTACTTAGTAGCTGGTCACCGTTCACTGTTCAGTCAAACACTCCATCTCCATCATTTAGAACAAAGCTCCTTTTTCCCTCTTTGACCTGTCAGCTTTCTTCCTCGAATAGTAATCAATCCAGGCCATGAAAAATGGATACCTAACAAGAAAAAAAAAAAGAACGCTCAGAATGCCGCATGTTCACTCCCCGTCTCACTTTCGCCCTCGCTCCTCGTGTCGTCCCACTGCTCGTGTGCATCCCACTCAAACAGGTCTTGTAGACGTAACTGCGAACTACTCTCGCTAGCCACAACCTCCACGGACCCATCGGGCTTGATGATCTTTTGCTCGATGGTCCATTTCCCCCTCTCCTGGAGTAACTGCTCTAGGTCGCGCTTCATCCCCTGCGTAAACGTGTGGTTCTTGCCCAGCATCTTGACCCGGCCGTCGACCACTTGCCAGTACAATTCCTCCGTCAGGTCGAGGTAGCCCTTTCGTTGGTACAGCAGCGCGAGTAGCCGTAAACTCTCCAGCCGTCGCGGGTGGTTGTCGCCCAGGGTATCCTGCGAGTCTCGCACCGCGCAACGCAGCACCGCGATTGCCTCGTCGAGCCGGTTCTGTCGCTCCAGGGCACGGTGCAAATTCGTCAAGGCCGAGATGGACTGCAGGTGTTTGGGACCTAGAACTGTCGACGAAATCTTGTAGACTTGACGCAAGACCTGTTCGGCTTCCTGAAGCTTCCGCTCGACATTCAACATAAACCCGTGGCAATACTGCGACGCGATCGAGCGCGAATCTTCGGGGCCGTACCGCTGGACCATCTCCTCGTAAACCTCGCGGAGGGTGTTGCTGGTGATGTCGCAATTGCGCATCTGTCCATTCGCCACGTAAACCATCCACCGCACAATGGTCGTGATCGGGTGACTCGGCCCCAACGACCGCTCCGCCACCAGATACGCGCTCTGCATGATCGTCTTGGTGATGTCGCCCTGGTCGTGCATCTGTAGGATCTGTAACGTCTGGTTGAGAGCCAACAACACTTTGGGATCCTGGCGGGGGACGAGCATCTGTTTAAACTCGGCGTCCGCGTCGGCCAGACTCCGTTGCGATAACGTATGGTCGCCCCTCCGCAGATAGATGCACGCGGCGAAGCACCGCGCCACCCACTTCCATGAATGCTCATGGCCTCGTGAGCTGGCGGGGACGGACATGGTGCTCGCCGCCGACGAGTCCTGGCTGGCGTTGAGAATGTTACGAGGTAATTGAGGCATCTCCAGATTCGGCAGACTGATAAAGTGTTCGCGGGTGGACTCATGGCACCTGGGACAGATCTGTTCGTAGTCCATCGAGTCCTCGGATGAGCTGTCGTTGAATAATAGCGACCAGCTGCGAATATCATCATGGCCGCAAAGAGACTTCAACAAAGGGGCATCCACCATCTGCAGCGCCATGTATTCTACATCTCGACCCAGTTGATTGCAAGACATGAGGGGACTAGTGTCATATAGTGTGCCCGCATGACGCACCTGGTCTTCGATGGTGGCTAGCGGTTCATGGGGGGCAAGATAAGTATATGACAGAGCTGCCGACAGAGGGGCATCTTGGGGAGAAGAGACGGTACGGGCGCGTGATGATGATGATGGTGAAGCATCCGACGAGTAGTTAGTATTAGTGGTGCTTTCCTTGGATGGAAAATAAGGACCGTGCCTTTGAGGCGGTGACACAGTCAGAGGGAAATATGGCGAGGCTGCATGGTGGGGTGACCATCTGTGCGAAGAAGGACTTCTCGTAGTGGGCGATTGTTGGTGGGCGACAGCGGAGCTGTCGGGGGCGGTGGAACGCGAGGCTGGGGCTGGGACACTGGAGACTGATTCCGACACGGCTTCCCTCGGCGAAGGCAAATCCTTGGTTAGAGGGACATTTGCAGCGATCTCGGGGGGCCGTGCTCTAGTGGGAGCGGATGATGTCTGATGATGTAGAGGCGGCGGTCCTTCTTCGGCCTCAGTCTCAGGCTCGGGGGTGTAGGCTCGGACATGAGGATATTGTTCCTGTTGTTGGTCGGCGTTGGCAAGGGCAGACGCGAGGAAATCCTCCTCGGTCATCTTTCGCCCTTTGATGTATTTGTGAAGGTCCTTGAGAGAACGTTTGTGGCCATGGATCACAAACGCTGTCAATCGTTTACCGCTTTTTTGCCGTGTGTGGTGTAGCACCGCACCTACGACGAGCTTGTTAGCATTGCATCACCACTTGTTGTTTGTTGTCTTTGATCAGGCGTTAACGGCGAGACCATGGGGCTACATGATCAGAGGATACTTACATATTTGATAGTCCTTGTCCGAGTAGTTTTTACTGATTCCCCACTGCGATAGTCGGGCTTTATACATGCGCTCCCTGGATTTGTTTCGAGACCGGAAATCAGTAACAATGCACGGGACGTTTCGAACCCTCGAGTGGCTGGGGGATTTCGGCAGGTCTTGCCAATACAAAAAAGACACACAGGACTCACGTTGCGCGGAAATTGTGCCGATCTAATAGTATTTTCCTGACATCCCGCAAGGGATGCTTCTCATAAAGGATTCGGATTTCCTCCTTCACCGCTTGCCACTGAGCGGGAGCGGGGCCTTCACGCGCCTCAAGGTGAGTAGAGGAGGCGGGCGCCTGGGTGGAAGTGGTCGTAACAGGAGGTGGTTGAGCAACATTCTCGACGGTCCATCCATGAGGATTGCCCAGGCTCAGGGCCATTGACTTGTTCTTGTCCTGCTGTGCTCAGCGGTCATCACTGCCTAAAGCGAAGTTAGGATTAAAATCCAGGAGAGAAAAAAGCCGAACCGAGTCAGCTATCGAGGGCAGGGAGAAAGAGGGAAAAAGACGGGCTGGACAATTAACGAGGGGAGCCTTTTTTTGTTGGCCTGGCCCAGTTCCCGGCTGGTAAACTCGGGTTGGTTCCAAGGGGCAAAAAAGAGAGAGGAAAAAAGGTAAAAAAGGGTAATTGTTTGCCTTGCGAGAAGCAGCCTGTCACAAAGGAAGTTCGACGGTCGACGAGGAGGAGGAGGACGAGGAGGGGTAATTTGGGATCTGGCTTTGGCTGGGGTGGCCCGTGGGCGCAGTGGCTCGTCTTCATGTGTCGTGGCCCTGGTTTTTCCCTGGTGGTGCTGGTCAGTTGGTGGTGCCCTGGAATGAGGGTATGAATGGGGGAATGAGAGACCATGCATCTCAACGCTACAGGCCACCAGGCCCCGGGTGGCTCAGGTGGCCCAGTTCCAAGGGCCCGTTGCATATGCAAAGTCCCTTCTGTAACCCAATCACCGCCCATTCCGGTGACAGCGGCGTGGTTTTAGCTTGACACGTAGCCGACAAAGTAAGATTGCGGCCAAAAAACAAAGGCTGAAACCCTGGGCCCCCCCTTGGACCTTGGGACGGGAAAGCGGTAGCTGCCAGTGCCTCCAGCCTCGGGACGGGTGGGGGAGGATCATCATGACCAGTACGGGAGTAGAAGAAGATTGACAAGGTCAGAGAAGATGGACAGAGTGTGTGGAACTTGAAGAAAAAGCGCAGCCTCTCAGAGGGAACAAGGTGAGTTTTTAAATACTTAGAGGTTGCGTCACTGCGTCACTTGCTTCACTACTTCACTATGAGTCCTTCACCATCATCGGGCAACCTCTATCACAATTCTAGAGACTAAGGCCATGAGCCATGGCTTGACCGGCAATCTCTCTACAGGCGGCAATCACCAATAGTGAGCTTCCTCCCCCCCTCGACCTCGCCTACAACCAACGACACTTGGCAGCCCTCCAATAATTAAATATTACTGTGGCTGAGAGCAAACAAACACCTCTTAAACTCTCAGAGAAGAGAGATCAATTGCAGGTACGTATATACAACGAATATGCTAACGAAGATTCGCAATCGCGGCAATGATACCATAGCTGTCACCAAGCTTGATTCTCCCCTTGAGCAGCTGCGCCGTTACCATTCACTGACCACTGACCAAAGCCCGTTGGCATTCCCCATCATAGCGGTCATATGTCAAGACTTGCACAAACAATACGATGCACACGTGATGGCGTCTGAAGGATCCCAGCTTCATTGGCCGTCATCATATAATCAACCCCAAGGTTTGGTTTAATGGATGGGTAAGGCTCGGACCGAGATCTGACACGCACCATCTGACCAAACCATCCGTGTTGTGATGTCCCCAAAACGAAAAAGCCTGATCTGTCTCGGGATTATATTCCTTCCAATCTGTCACACCCACGGGATGAGAGACGAGGACGACAGAAACCAGCCCAAACAATTGCCGCCAAGATATTGGCCGTCATATCAAAGGGGAGCCCCACGACCAAAAAGGTAGGGGGGACTGAGAAGAAAAAAGGATACATCAGTCGAGCAAGATCGATCAACGGTAACAGGCAGCAAGGGGTAAGAATTTCCCCCACTTTGGAAAGGCGATCAGCATGATAAAGGTCGATGAGAAACGTAGGTTTCTGTTGATGGCATTTGCCGCTGAGAAGGCTAAAGCCTTTCTGCCGCCTTGTTCGGTCGAGACAATAGGCAGGGGACTGTTTGGCGTCCTCCTCGTCCTTGGTCTCTAGCAGTATCGAATCTATAGGATAAGCAAATCGCCTCTAGTGCGCTATCATCAATGCTAACGACCAGATCTCCGTCCCGACGGGTCAAGCGTTGACGGTCGACGGTCTTGGGCACTCTGGGATCGAGGAAAATCCTCTTTGGAGTCGGTCGAGCCTTGTCGCGTTGCTTGTGCAGGGAAGTTTCGACTCGTACCCCCCGCCTTGGCCGCGTCAAAGGTGTCGGGCCCGGGATGTGACGGCGGTTGCGGATTTGAAGGGCCACGACTGATCATAGACTGCTGGTAGGCGGGCGGCGGGTCAGATTCGTGCTGGGGGGTATGTGCATATCCCGCGGTTTGATATGCAGTCGGCATGTATTGTCCGGGTTGTCCAGGTCTCGGCGCAAACGTGGCCGTGTTCACCGTGATGTTGAGACTCGGCGAGGCTTGGTCGGGTCTTGATTGACCTTGATAGTACGGACTGGGGTTCGGTTGCATGTTATGCGGCTGGGAATAACCAGAATATTGGCCGTATTGAGGTTGAGGTTGGTGATACGCAGGTTGAGGAGAGCTGGCCGCCACATTTGATGTCGCTGTCACTCTCTCTTGTCGCCCGCCGTCAGCAGGCTCATTTGTTACGTCTCGCTTGACCCGAGGTTGCTGCGGTCGATTGGTGCCGCCTTCCGAGGGACCCTTTTTCGCCCGACGCCTGGCTGTATCCGATTCTCTATAATCGTACGGATCTTTTCTATATTCTCCTGCGACACAGAAATTTGGTCAACTTTTTTGCTTGTCATCTCTTGCTTCCCCAAGCGGAATGAGCCTACTGCTTTGTGTTTCCAAGTCCCAGTCTCTCGAGTCATTGATGAGATCGCGAATGCTGACCTAGACCATTCTCAGTATGGATATGGAGGGGTATCGCACCGTGGGAGAGAAGGCTCTTACGGCATTGAGTGCTCTTTTCGCTAGGACGCTGAAACCAGTCCGTGATTTATCCTGATAATGGGGTCAGTTAAAGAGAAACCACCAAACGTGGACCAGGTTGGTCCTCACCGTGGGATGTTGAGCCGATGTAATCTTTGCTGTGCGATCGACCCATCGTGTGATGTAATCAACCAGGACTGCGGCATTGATGTTTTCGCCGGGAACGAAAAAATGTATGGGTTGAAGGTCTTCGTCGCTATCGTCAGAGTCATGGTCGTCATCCCGCTTCAGCCTCTTGCCCGACTTCGAGGGTTGTTTAGGCATGATGGATGGTAGGTCAGAGAGGGACGTGGGCTAGAGGGACACGGATCACGGGAGAGGCTGTTCGCAGCGACACTCCGGGTCGTGATGAACCTCGGTCGCAACTCAGGCTAGCGGTACAAGGGAGAGGCACAATGGGAAATCGAATGAGCATGCTTGAAGAGATGAGGCGGATCCAGACTTCGATGGAAGGGCCAGAGAGAGATTAACCTGCAACACTCAAGAGGTGACGAGATGATGCCTGGTTTGGTTTGCGGCAGTTCAAAAATGCAGCCGCAGCCGATACATTCGCTGGCAGGTTGTCAGTTGGCCGGACGGGGGGCCGGTGATTGAGTGAGCACAGGCATGTGCAGTAGGAATGGGATGAGTTGTCAAGTAGGTTAAGTAAGAGCCCACTGGGTTCAGAGGTTCAGAGGTTTAGCCAACACGGGACAGGACGTGATTGCATGGGAGAACAGAGCAAATGAAAGGGCGAGATGCAAAGGCGGCGACTGAGACTGCGCACTGCGAGAGCACCTGATGCCTAGTAGTGGGCAAGTCAGTGGCAGTTGGTGGCAGTCAGTGGTAGGCCAGGGCCACAGATCCAACTTTTTACCCCGCCGTCGTGCATCATCGTATTGTCTTTGCTGTTGCTCTGATGACTTGCCCTCTGATGTTATTCTTGCTCCCGAGCAAGTGTCCACTTCTCGAGTCCCTCCCAAGCTCCAAGCACCAAACCGGTCTCCAAGAACGTCACCCTCGGAGCGAGGTCCTCCGTGATTTACCGCGGCGTCATGATTGATGGCAGGAACGAAGTGGGAACTCTGAAATCTTTGGCGGGTGGTTTTAGCGATATCTCAGGAACCAATGTGGCAGCCGGTCGTTGGACGATGGAAGTTTGCAGACCAACCGTGAGGGGCAGTCAATCCCCAGTCCAGCAGTCAGAGACAAGAAGCAATCGGCCGATGGGGTCCCAGGAGAAATAACCCGATGCAGTCAGTCACAGCATATATAAGCCGAGATGCAGAGCTCTGACAGCCATTCTCTCGCGTGTAGAGATGCAGCGACCCAGGATTCTGGTTCGCAGATGGCAGAGACCTTTAGATGATCGAGCAGACGATAACTCGGAAAGTCTCAAAGTTTGGGGTCAAGTTCTCTCAATGCGACGCCGTGGGATGGTCGCCTTCCTGCCGAGTGTGGGGCCGGATAAACGACCGAGCAAGTGGAGGACAGGTTGAAACTAGGGAGAGATTAGGGAAGGAATGGAAGAGGGGTGTCACGGGGTTGCCCAACAAGAGCCCGCAGTGGTAACAGAGTCTGGGCGAGTTGCTGTTGAAATAGAAACGGTGTATATGTATATCACAGATACGCACTTGTTCATGGCCGTTGTCGAAACAAGGTTGTCGCCATGTCAACGGCCCGACAGGCACTACCATGATCGATCTCTGACTGACACACTGCAGCCAGCTACTAGTAGAAGCACAGAGCCTGTAACGTCTGGCTCACCGCCTCTTCTCGGCCGCAGGGCTTGTCCCAGAAATCTTGACTGGTTCGGCCGGAGTGTGACTGACAAGGTATTGACATAAATCGACACTAGCAATATGTGGATAGATATAGATGGAAAGGAGTGAGACTCATAATGTCGTGGTCCCTGAAAGGAAAGCCAGCCTCGTCCGCATCCCGAATACTAACCACCCACGCCACCCCTGTCTCTCTTGCCTCACCTCATATCCTCCTCGGCACGGAATTAGACCTGGGATGCCGGTAGCTGGAAGCTAAGGTCCTGGGTCAATGGGATACTGGTGTTGATTGTGACGGCCATCGTTGCCTTGTCATACGAAAAAGTGGAGTTCGGAGCGCCATCGATGTTGAGGCTCTGTGGTGCAGACCCAACATTACAAACGGTGATCCGCTCGATACTGACATTGACTGGATAGGCATAGTCGCCGGA